CACCCCGCACCCCTGCAGGAAGGAGTTTGTCGAGGGCTGCAAGGCCATCAAGGCAGACAGCCTAGATAGCATCTGTGCACGCTTCCCTTGCATGCTACTAGAAGCCCAGGTGGAGGAGAAATTCAAGGACCTGTACCGCTTCACCTTCCAGTTTGGGCTGGACTCGGAGGAGGGGCAGCGCTCGCTGCATCGGGACATCGCCATCGCGCTCTGGCGCCTGGTCTTCACCCAGGACACTCCGGCCATCCTAGACTGCTGGTTGGACTTCCTGACGGAGAATCCCTCGGGGGTGAAGGGCATCTCGCGGGACACGTGGAACATGTTCCTCAACTTCACTCAGGTCATCGGGCCGGACCTCAGCAACTACAGTGAGGACGAGGCATGGCCCAGCCTATTCGACACCTTCGTGGAGTGGGAGGTGGAGCGACGGAAGAAGGAGGACGCCTTGGCTAAGAGGGCCCTCGGGGAGCCCAGCACGACAACGCCAGACTCGGGGGATGAGGAGGCAGACGAGGGCAGCCAGATTGGCCACTGACTGATCTGGGATTGCCAATGAAAGACTCACTAAAAGTAAAACTGCATCTGTGAAACTGTCACCATTATTGTTGTTATTATTTTGATTTTTTTTTTAATGAGGTGTGGGTGGGTATGTAAGGGACTGGGGTAATTTCTTAACTACCCTAATATGCCTTGTTTTATGAAAGGGCTCTAGAATATTGTATAATGATGCCAGGCTGTTTTATTTAAATTATTATTTTTTATTTTCGTTTGGGTAACTGGATGTGTTGTTCTTTTTTAAACTCTGACATCCCCCTACACTTAAGATGATGGTGTCTGGCTCATTGGGGGGGGGGAGACCTGGGTATAGGGTCACCACATTTCTCCAGGTGATAGCGGATGGTATTATGGAATTTGGTAGGACCAGAACTCGTGTTTTTAACCGAGGGAGACGATAATGGATTGAAAAAAAAGTTGAAATCTCCTGCAGTTATGTCATTTCAGTTCCATTTTTATAACGTGCAGTGATTTATTAAAAATAAAAGTTCATCCAGTGGACCATGAAATGAAACTCCATTAATTTTGTCATTATACCCTCTTTCCATCACTTTCTTCATAAACAAACCTGCACCTTGCAAGTTTTAGGTTAATTTTTCACGATGGTTTTTCCTGCAGGAGATGTACTTCAGCTCTGAATACAGTTAATGCTCCCAAATGCAGAATCTTAAAGGCTTCCAAGGTGCTAAATTCAGGTCCTCGGACGCGTCTCACACCATTTTGCTTTATGCTTCTTGCACACTCCCACCAATGCTCTATGTTATAGGCCAGTGTTTCCGAACCCTGGACAGTCCACGTTTTTGCTTCCTCTCAGCTCCCAGCACACCTGATTTGGTGTTCCTGATTGGCTGGGAGCTGGGAGGGAGCAAAAACGTGGACTGTCCGGGGTTCCCCGAGGACTGGGTTGGGAATCACTGTTATAGGCCATCCCGGGTGAACAGACAGCTTCTGTGGGAAACTTGGTATCCAAAAGACAAGCAAGAATATCTTGTGATTTTAGGAAGAAGGGCTGTAATTAACTAGATGGTTACAGCCCCATTTCCAAAAACGTTGGCATGCTGTGTAAAATATAAATAACAATGCAATGATTTGCAAATCATATAAACCCATATCTAATTGAAAATAGAATGAAGATGACGTATCAATTGTTGAAACTGAAATTTTATGGTTTTATGGGAAATATATGCTCAATTTGAATTTGATGCCAACAATACGTTTCAAAATAGTTGCAACAGGGGCATGTTTACTAATGTGTTGCATCACTTCTTTTAACGACACTCTGTAATGGTTTGGGAACTGAAGAGACCCGTCGCTGGAACTTTGAAAGTGAAATGTCCCATTCTTGCCTGATATAGGATTTGAACTGCTTAGCAGTTTGGGGTCTCTTTTGTCATATTCTTTGTTTCATAATACACTTGCCGCAATATGGGTTCATATGATTTGTAAACATTGCATTTTGTTTTTATTTAAATTTTCCACACGGCCATATCTATTTTGAAAACGGTTATCAAGTAGGTATGCTATTCCTAATTTTATTATTATTGTTATTATTTTGATCAAATGTATTTTATTGACTATCTATTGACTTTTAAAATCCTAATAACAGCACAGAATTGCCTTGAGTTGTGATATTGCTGTTGAATGGTTTCTGGTGTGCATATTTTAAAAAAAAAAAGAAAAGAAAACCTTGTTCCTTTTCAGTAACCTTACTATAATGGAGGCTAAGGTAGGTAATTTCATCTTGGGAATATCTTTTACTTGAAAATGAGAGCAATTGAGCTCTTTACTGACATTTTGGGGGGAATTAGGCTCCTAGGTTTCTCGAATGTTCTTGAATTATAGCAACACAAGCCCCTTATTGTTTTTGCCTCATTGGACATGTGGTAGATTTCCCTGTGTGTCGGTGGTGGGGCTACAAAATGCTATGATTAATGAGGTATAACACTTGCTGTGTTTTTATGCATAGCAAGCTGGGGAATTTGCTAACATAAAGAACTACTAAACGGATATCACTGTGAAAAACAAGGAAATGTATCCTTTTTCAGTTGTGGTGGTAGGCGTGAAGGGGGGTGGGTGTGAGCATTAATTCAAATTGCTAGGGAATGTGGGGATTGGTTGCTGGACACATGCTTTGGTGTATGTCATGAACATCCTGTGTTGTGAAACAGGCTAGGAGCATGAGTCTGACATCCGGTGTGTTTGTGTGTCTGCTGTTTTCCAGTCAGGAGGCTGAGGAGGTGTATAATGGGTGATGTGGCTTGTGGTCATTCTCCTGTACCCATGCATGTGGAGTAGGAGCATTTATGAAAAGGGGGGGCTTATTAAAATGAAAACGAGAACACACTATTGTAACTAATTGGTGTGCATTTTTTGAGAGTCTAAATCACAGGTAGCATGATGGGGTGTTTACAAAGGATTGTGCAATTTGTTTTCTGTTGTGCACAGTGCAAAGTCAACCAGGACTCCAAAAGTTTCACTGTGTTGCAGTGTGTTGTCACCAAATGTTTCTGGAAAGTCTTAAAATAGTGAGATTAACTACTACAAACGACTGAAAGGTCTAGATAAAAAAAAAAATATCAATGAATGGTGGAGAAGGGTTATTACCGTAAAACGTATTTCACGTTTCACATTCGAAAACTTGGGAATTTTGAGTAAATGTTCTGACTGACTACTAATGGTGTATCGGGAAACTATAGACATCGCATGGCAGCTCAGGCACGTTGTGGCATGTCCCTCCTTTCCTAACCAAACGAATGTGTGAATGCCATTGTGTGGAAAGCAGGAAAACACGCACCCGTCCACGCCGCGAGAATCCCGACCCGTCCCGTGCGAAGGGCGGGGCGACGGCGAGGGGGGCGTTTCTATGGCCGCGCGCTCCACGCCATTGGCCGGTGGCTCTCCTGGTAACCGGCGTAACCCGTGTCAACACACCGAAAGCGCACGAGTCTCAATGTTTTTATTATCTAGCCATTTGGGATTGTTTTCAACGAGATGACATGGACCGTAAGTTTTTTTTTTTTAAAAAAAAAAAGAAACTGTCTCCTGGTGCACATTGTGTTTTGAAGATCGCACAAGAAATGCTGATGAACTGTGAAAATGAAGCCCTACCGAGCTATCTTACCTGTATTCTTAAAACCAGACCTGTTCAAATATTTGTGAGTTATAGTACACGTTTAGCAGGAGTTACTATACCCTGTAATATGTAGTAATAAGTCGTAGCTTATATAAATGGAATGCATGTGCCTTACACTACTCGGGTTGCTCCATAAAACAAGGCTAACCGATTAGCTAGCAGTAAAAGTTAGGCCTTCATTGTATCCACGGTGTGGACTTTCTTGTGAATGCTGCAAAATCATTTCTTCACTGGAGGGGATCGGCATCTACCCTACGTCCGCAGCTTACGCTTATACGATTTTATTTATCACATAAGATTAAACAGAACCGTGATACCACATTTATTATCATCATACGCCATTACGCCGTTCCGATGTCTTTATATGTCATTGTTCTCTGTTGTCCTGGACGTCTTTGTATTTCTATATCGTTATTATTTAAACACTTTCTTTTTACATGCCGAAACACAGGGGTATCCGAAAAAAACGGCACCAGACCCAAGGCAAAAGAGGTAGGCCCTCCCGCTGTGATTTAACTTATTTTACATATTGCAACTAATGTGCACGGATGTGGCGGATGTAATTCACTTCATTATCCAGGCAGCGATTTCATTATCCTTTTAATGACATTGCTCTTTATGGATAACGGATAATTTGTAACGGTTAATATAAGGGATGGCTAAACACAATTTTACCATGGGTAATCAGAGTACGTGACTTGTGGCAATGATTTATCCTCGGTAAGATTACACCCACACGTAGAAGTCAGTGCAGGTGTCCCGCTGCACACGGCTAATGTCCAGCAGCCTGTAAAACGTGCGTATTTACCACAATGTACCGATCCAAGTCGTTATTTCTGCCTCGTTCTCCGTTTTTCCTGCTGATGCCGGTGATTGCCATCTGTCCTCCTTTCTATCCTTGTCTGTCCCTTACAGATGCCGTAGTTGACAGAGACTGTAAGAGAGCTGCTGACTTCCTCTTCTTTCTGCATGCTTGTCATTACTCTTTGGCTTATTTGTATAATTCGTTTGCACTCTTGCGACATAAACAGTAGTGGCAATTTAAAGCAATTTTTTGTAATCCTCTCCTAAGTCGAGTGCATTGTGCTTTTATTGTTAAGCTGTATTTTAGACTGAGTTATTGTCTAAAGTTTTAATATTCAACTCTTCCTTACGACATGGACGTGTTTTTATTCTGCTTCTGATAAAATTTTAGGTCGGCTTCTGAATTAATAACTTTATTCTTATTTATTGATATTCTTTGTACTGTATGGCTTCTCTTATTGCACACTATTAATCTGTGTTTCTAAGTGCCGAGTTGCGTTCCAATTAAATTCTCCATCTTGTCACTTTCAAGAGACGTCACGGGAGCCCGGGCGGAAGGTTCGCAGCAACAAATATCGAAGAGAAGCTCGATGAATATTTAACCGTCCTTCAAAAGAGAAACAGGTTAGGTGTGACTATAAAGTGTGCTCTGAGCTTCTCCTGTTACCGGACAAGGCGCCTTTGTGTCCATCCTTCTGATTTGTGAGCTGTGATCGGTTCTCTGAATGAGGTGATGCAACTTGATGGATGCTTTGTTGCCAAAAGAAGGTGATACCTTTGCTTCCGTTGCTCATTGTTGTGTCTTTTCAATGCCCCCTGTGAGTTCAGATTGCCCCAGGGTAGATCCATTTAGCATGTGTAGAAAATCCCGCAGTTTGTGCATGATGACCATGTTGGTTATATATGTTGGTTATATCTCAATGCTGCATGTACCCTCCCCAGAATCTTGCAGATCCTGAGGACCAAAGATCCAAAGCAGATTGAGCTGGAGCATCTGGAGCAGGGCTTCTCCATATACGTGAACGGAGCAAACTCTCAGGGCAGCAGGCAGCCCAGGAGAGGCGGCCAGAAGCCTGAGTCGCAGCCCCCTGCAGCGAGGGCCACCACCGCGGCCGGTGAGCGGCACAGACCCCCCCCCCCCTGCCAGAGGCCCTGCTGCACTTCCTCTATGGCCCCTTCCTGGTGCCGCCGCATGCTTGCGGATGTGCCTGCGGATCCCGAGTCCCGTTTCCAATCTGCGTCCTCCCCAAATCGCGGAATGTGAGACTTCTATGAGTGAATGATGGGGAAAAAGCCATCTGTGCTTTATTAATGTCTTGCTTTTCCCAAGCACTAGATACTGGCATTTCTCTTTGGAACTGATTAAATGAATCGATGTTTTATTTGCCCACTGCACAAGGACGAGTACACGTTCATTGGAATGCTTCCCATCAAACTCTCCTTTGGGACATACACACATTTGGGGTCTGCACACAGGGACAGCCATTTATCAGGCACCCTGGAGCTTTTTTGGGGGGTGGGGTTAAGATCCTCACCCATGGGCCCAACAGAGATGTGACTAATCTGCTGAGAACGGGATTCAAATCGGAGATAATTTGATCACAGGCACAGAGACCGAACCCACTGAGTCACATACTGCCCCCCAGTGGATCCTGTCGATTGTGTGAATGTTATCATATACAGTCATCCTTGTACATCCCTCTGTATTTTTTTGTTATACAGTATCTTTGACCTCTCCCCTGTAATGATCGAGATGCATCCAGATTGACTTGCATCCTCACTTCCAGGACAAAATCCAGCCAATGGATACCTACATATATTTTTTTTATCCTCCAATTGTTTGGATTAGATGTTTCCAGAAGGATTGTGGGTCTAGCAGAAGATCTGCAAGATATTGAGAGGGTTCGAAGAGGGAGGAGTCAGACCGCTCCCGAAAGAGTGCAGCGGAAAGAATGGATTCAGGTAGGCTTGGGTTACTGCTACAATTGTCAGCTGGGCCTGACAGATTGAGCAGGTCTCTGTGGTTCTCTGTAGGTGATCGTGATGAAGTTCCACTGCTCAGCACCGAGCCACTGAAAGTTATGTAGGATATATAAAGCAGTGATGGAGAGAAACCAGGCATGTTAAAGCCATAGTGGGTGGGATTATCGTGTGCTGCCAATCACTGACCAATGGGAGCTGCCCATTGGATTAAGCCTCTCTGTGATTGGCAGAGTGCAGCCGGACCACCCACTGTGAGACTGAGAGCCTAATGTTCTTGTATCACTTTTTAAAATAGGACTGCGGAGGAAGAGATTAAATTTAGAGATGGCTGCACCGGCCAAACTCTGAATCATTTAGAATCTTCTTCAAATTTTAATATGTCTTCATAGACTTCGGTTCATCTTAAGGCAGAGGAGGGACCGTCTCTACACATTCGCCCGGAGTGCCACTACTCCGAGGACTTCGAGCCCTCCGAGAGCGTCGTGATGGAGGTAAGGGAGTCGCTGGCATCTATGATCCCGTGGCCATTCCTTTGGGTGATGTGTTTAAGACAGTATCTGTCCTCTGTGTGTCTGCCTCCCCCCGTAGCACTCAGGAGCTCAGTCACCTCACAGAGACCCTCGGGCGGCCCCCAGGCCTTTCAGTGCCAGGATGGAGAGGCGAGGGAGTCACGGTGACCAGGAGCGTGGAGAAAGAGTCCTCCTCAACATGGATGAAGTCAAGGTCTGTACACCTCTGACTTTGTGAGGTTCAGCCATGCAGCTATGTGGCAGCATTGGGGTTACTACTGAGACCGGACCCCTTATTACAACACACAGTATACTTCATGTATCAGTGGCTAGCATTGCTGAAGGTCACTTTGAATTTATAGCTGATGCTGGAGAAGTAGGGGCCAACTGGACTGAGTTCAGGGATGGGCTGTGTTCTAAGAGTCAATCAGGGATGGGCTGTGTTCTAAGAGCCAGTCAGGGATGGGCTGTGTTCTAAGAGTCAATCAGGGATGGGCTGTGTTCTAAGAGCCAGTCAGGGATGGGCTGTGTTCTAAGAGCCAATCAGGGATGGGCTGAGTTCTAGAAGGCAATCAGGGATGACCTCGTCCCCTCCCTCTTTTATTAGATGTTGCGGCGGAGCCTGCAGGCCAGTGTGAGCGTGAGGCATGGCAGCCGCGATTCAGCAGGGGAGGAGTCTGAGGAGGAGTGGGTAGAGGAGCAGATCGAGAGGGAGGAGAGTGCGGAGAGCCTGGAGGAGCTCGGCCTTCCCCCTAAAATGCCTGCCTCCAGCCTGCAGCCCAGTGAGCCCCCCAGCTGCCATCTCGACCCCGGAGACCTGATAGTGCTGGACTTCGGCCCGTCTCCAAACGGTGACCGCCCGCTGTGTATCTCTTGACACGTTATCAGAAAACATCCCAGGGACACACATTGGTGCCAGGTTCAGTCTCCGTCCCTTTCCGATGACCTGTAGTATGTTCCTGTACTTTTTAATATATATTTGCAGGTGGGAAGATTCAGCGTTCCCTCTCGGCCAAAAGGAAAGCCAGTGTGGACGCGTACATTCCGACCAAGCCGGTCCTGGTGAAGAGCAGACTGCTTGATAAGGCTCCTTCTACCTCAGGAAGAGATGCACCAAGTCAGTAGTTCCTGCCTTAATCCACCCTGGAGTTCGATGAGTTATTGGTGGGATCGTATATTACCTGGGGCTCATTAGAAATAGGCGCAGTGTCCTGGGGTGAGTCTGAATGACCCACTTTTAATGGATGCCTTGTTTTTTCTCAGGGCTGCGGAGCCGCGTGGAGCGCCCTCTGTCTGCCGCCCGGAGGAGCGCTCAGGAGGGGCGGGACTCCGAGGAGGCGGCATGCCGGGTGTTCCAGGCACTTCAGAAAGAGAACAGCATGCTGCAGCCGGGACTGCGGGCCCTGGAGCAGAGCCGCCCGGTACAGCCCGCTGAGCCGTGGTCTCCCAGCAGAATGCCAGCCAGCTCTGGGTCTGCATAAAGCAGCAAAGCTGGGCTCTTTCTTTTAATGATTATTTACATAGAAATTAATTACCAGTTGTGGAGCAGTTGTCCAGCTTCTCTCACTAAAACTCACATGTCCCATTTTTGCACCAGTTCTCGGTTCTTTTAGATTATAACTCACACGCTAACTCACCTTTTTTTGAAAGCCTGCATGTGCTCCCTGTGCAAGCCAACCTGCAGAGTTCATTTTATTTACTTAGTGGGAGATTTTTTCCATAAAAAGGTCTGTCAGTGCTTAGAGCAATTGTGCCACAGTGGAGTCACTCTGCAAATCCTGGGATTTGAACCAGTGACCTTCTGAGCACAAGCACAGCATCTTAGCCCGCTGAGCCATACACTGCTTCCCGTATCTTTGCCCTATTTGATCCCACTGCTACCTTGGTGACGGCACATCTTCCCTGAGGCTCACCGTGTCACGCTTCCCCGATCTTGTCCCCGCGTAGATCAGAATGTGCCAAAGGAGTGACGTCTCAGAGGCTGACGGGCAGAACGGGGTCACCAAGGCTATGCAGAGAATCTCGCTCATGGAGCCAAGGTACGCCCACAGTTGTGCTTCTCACAGTATACCAACAAAGTGCGAAAGGTCTCATTTGTCACGGTGACTCAGTGTTAATTTTTTTTTCTCTTGGCTCTCTCTGCTTTTGAGTTTAATAAAATACTTTTTCTCTGTACGTCAGCCAACAGAAGAAACTGCTGAAGGCTTTGGAGAAGATTGAGGCGAACAGTAATGTTGAGGACCCCCAAACGGCAGAGACCAAGACCAGCAGAGACAGGCTGCCGGTGAGTGCGACTGCCAGCTTGTAACCTGAGAGACCTTCCCAGGAAACATGGACAAAAATGACCCCCCTCCAGTAGAATTATTGACAACGCCACCGAGTCCTTGGATATGGGAGCATGTGACAATATCTAGCTATTATAGTCAGGGCCCGTGACTGACAGAGCTGTGGCAGTCAAGTTAATGTCTAATATATTATTTCAGATTAGGTGAGTATATTGTGCATTTATTGTGAATTGTGCATGTGGGAAATAATGGGCGATGTCTTACGGCAGCAGAGATCTCCAGTGCCAGTGGAGGTCACTCCATCTCTCTACGTAACCATGGAGATCCTGTCCAACTGGGGGAACAGCCAGCAGGTGGGGCTCACCGAGATGCAGTTCTTCTGCCCGAGGAACCGGAAGCTGTTCGTGTCTCCGCACGACCTGGACATCCGGAACGCCGACAGCCCCGGGAACCTGGGAGCGCTAGTCAATGGGAAAGCCAAGGTGATGCTTCACACGCCCAGAACCTTTCCTGCAATGAGTGGGAACCTTTAGGGTTCCTTGTTAATGGTGATCGAGTATACAGGGGTTATCGTGATGAGTCGCACCTGTTTTTAATGTCCTGATCTGCTCTCCGGCCCTATATGGACAGACCACCAAGGAGCGCAACATGTGGACCTGTCCTTTCCACCCTCCGGTCCAGCTCTACTTCATCATCCGCAACCCCGAGCGATCCCCTGACTTCGGCGTCTCCAAGATTAAGATCTGGAACTACAACAGGAGCCTGAATGTAAGCAGCATGCTTCTCCCCTTTACCTGGCCACACCCCCATCCATTAGTACAGCCCCCATCATCTATGGCAGGGGTGGCCAATCTTATCCTCAAAGGGCCGGTGTGTATGCAGGTTTTTGGGATAACCTGTAGGTCAGCTGTTCAAACCCAGGTGTGAGGACTCTTCAGCCAATCAGTCCTCTAATTAGTAATCTATTTAGGGAGTTGCAGCGAAAACCCGCATACACACCGGCCCTTTGCGGATAAGATTGGCCACCCCTGATCTATGGCCTGTATAGGACTGCACCAGAGGTAGATGGTTCAGGTTCAGAAAGTACAAATCCAGACCAAGATTTTGTTTCAACCAGCCAATAGAGCATGAAGAGTCACAGTAACAGAGTACTCAGTTGGTTGGTTGAAACAAAACTTTGGTCTGGATTTTTACTTTGTGGACCTGAACTATCCACTTCAGGGCTGCACTGTGACCTATCCATCTGTCTTACCAGGAACTAAGGCAGTGTGGAGTCTTTATGCAAAATCATATATGGATCAATATTTCCATACAGTTTGAGTTTATACTGGCCTGTTTGATCATTAAAAAATAGAAATAAACAGGCTTTGTTCAAGTCTATGAGGATGAGCAGATTTATCCCCTAAAATCTTTCTTACAGTTAATCAGAAATGTACAGTAAAATCTAACTTGTCTGTTATTGTACTTTTCATGGGACATGAAAATAATCATTTAAAAATGTTGACATGGTGAAGCACAGATTTGGCCTCCATGGAAAATAATTACCCAGGCCCGGGTTAGACTTTGCATCACAGGGCACAAAACAGTCCATTATCGCGTGGGGGACAAAGAGCTCCATTCACCTGTGTGCTCTCAGACTGGGGGCAATTTACAGTCACTACTTCATCTGATAATTTTGTGTATACCATTAGACTTGGTACCCAGAGGAAACAACACAGTAATGAGAGGAGTGACTGGAGATTGGTTCAAAGGTAGAATGCTGATGCTGTGACAGCTGTGGTGTTGATCTTCGAAGGATACAGGGTGGCTCAAAACTAGGGTTACAGATGTACATCAGTTTATGATGTATGTGTAAGGATTATATGCTCACATTCTGGCTCATGTATTGTCATCAAATTTTCTATTTTTCAGATGGGAAATATGAATTATGGCCCTTGTTTAATTTTTAATAAATATATTCAGCAAATGACAGTTGAATGGTAATCCTGCTTTTGTATACTGTGTTTATGCAAAAATGAGTCATAATTGCTGCAGACTATAACCCAGTGGCCCTGTACCCTGCAGACTGTGGCCCTGTACCCTGCAGACTGTAGCCCTGTGGCCCTGTACCCTGCAGACTGTAGCCCTGTGGCCCTGTACCCTGCAGACTGTAGCCCTGTACCCTGCAGACTGTAGCCCTGTACCCTGCAGACTGTTGCCCTGTAGCCCTGTACCCTGCAGACTGTAGCCCTGTACCCTGCAGACTGTAGCCCTGTGGCCCTGTACCCTGCAGACTGTAGCCCTGTGGCCCTGTACCCTGTAGACTGCAGCCCTGTACCCTGCACACTGTAGCCCTGTGGCCCTGTACCCTGCAGACTGTAGCCCAGTGGCCCTGTACCCTGCACACTGTAGCCCAGTGGCCCTGTACCCTGCACACTGTAGCCCTGTGGCCCTGTACCCTGCACACTGTAGCCCTTTGGCCCTGTACCCTGCAGACTATAGCCCAGTGGCCCTGAACCCTGCACACTGTAGCCCTGTGGCCCTGTACTCTGCAAACTATAGCCCTGTGGCCCTGTACCCTGCACACTGTAGACCTGTGGCCCTGTACCCTGCACACTGTAGCCCAGTGGCCCTGTACCCTGCACACTGTAGCCCTGTACCCTGCACACTGTAGCCCAGTGGCCCTGTACCCTGCACACTGTAGCCCTGTGGCCCTGTACCCTGCACACTGTAGCCCAGTGGCCCTGTACCCTGCAGACTGTAGCCCTGTGGCCCTGTACCCTGCAGACTGTAGCCCAGTGGCCCTGTACCCTGCAGACTGTAGCCTAGTGGCCCTGTACCTCCAGGCCGCTTCGCGTGTTTCCTCCTGTAGCCCACTGATACTCAGTTTAGCTTATTGGTGTCTGATCCGCCTGTAGTGTATGGATGTATTGGATCGCTTGCATGTATGTGCCTGTGTGGCAGCCCTGTGCTGTCTGGTGGGTTACAGCTGACTGGGATAACCAGGTACAAGAGGAATAGATGGCTTACTGGCTGGATGGATGATTCGGTTGTGCTTGCTATATTTAGACAAACACACTCACATGGTCATAGGCGTGGGTAGGAAGACGTGAGCTGACTAACCAGACTGTGCTTTTAGAGCAGGCTGTGTATGTGCAATAGATGGTTTAGACGTAGATATACTATATGCGTTAGATTATGCCTGCTGTATTTAGACAAGCACACTCACATGGTCATAGCCGTATGTAGGAAGACCTGAGCTGACTAACCAGTCTGTGCAGTCAGAACAGGCTGTATATCTACGATGGATGGGTCCAGAGCTAGCATGGAGCGGCAGGCGCCGATGTGACGGTGATGATGGTGCCGGCCGAGCGTGTGGCCTTGGCTGTGCGACGCAGCAGCAGGAACACAGTGCGGAATGTAGAGCGGAGGGGGATTAGGAGCGGGATTAGGGCCGGATAGCGGCGGCCTCATCCTCCTGTGCGTTTCCATAGCTGTCGCTCGTGGGGACCGGGCAGCTGCCTGCCGGCGCTCTTTGGCTGGGGCGTCTCCAAGCTGTTTTGTGTGCGTAGGTGAGTACAGGTGTGGGGGGGTCGCCGTCTCCCCCCAGCAGGCTAGCGGGGTTGGTGTCGTTGTCCTGGATACGCGTTGGTTCCCTTAGCCTGCGGACTGAGCGACCAGCAGTCCTATTGGGCATGTTGGCCAGACAAGAGAATGGCTGTTTGTGTACTCAGACTGTAATGTGCATGCAATGCTGCGACCTTTATAGACATAGATAGATGGGTAGATAGAATTTATTAGGAAACCCTTTTAACTATATATTTAGCATTGTTTATGAATGAAATATGTTTGTCCTTGCTGGGAATGTTGCTTGGATGTTTGTGTGTGTGAGGCATGGTGCACAAACGTACTTCAGGGCTTCATGTCACCATTTGCCATTTGTTGAGAGAATGAAGAGTCTGTTGTTTCTTTAAGGATCTGGACATCGGTGCCCGACACGTGAGGCTCTACCTGAACAGCACACTGGTGTTCGAAGGCGAGCTCGAGAAGGGCTGCGGTAACCAGGTCTTCGACTACAGCACCACGGTGGAGCTTCAGGCCCTCGGCCAGGAGTCCACCTCCCCCAGCTTGGTGTCATCTGGCCACAGCCTTATCGGCGAGAGCTCCAACCCCGGCCATGACACCCAGCAGGGTGAAGTGACCGAGATCCAGGGCAACTTGCGGACGGATCCCACGCTCGCGGCCGGCCCTGCCGCCACGTTACCCATGCAGAAGGACTCCCTGGAGCTGCCGGACAGCTCCTCGCTGGATGAGGAGCTGCTGCTGAGGCAGATCCCGGAGCAGCCAGTGGAGCCACCCGCCTCAAAGTGCGTCCCCACTTATTCCCACTCCATGACCCCCCCTTGGCTCCAGCCCCTGAGCCGGACAGACCAAGACGAGCCTGAATGTGGGAAGGAGAGGCCTCTGTGGCTGTCCTCGGACCTGGAAGCCAAACCCTCAGCACTAGGCAAATTGGATGACAACTCGGGTAAAGATGGCCGGCCACCGGGCCCGGGGAAGGAGCATTCTCTCAATGGCGGGGCAAGGCACCCTTCCTCGGAGTTCGACACTGATTCGCTGGACCTGAGCGGAGGCGACCTGCTAGAGGGTTTCTGTGTGAAGCTGGACCGGCCCGTCAGCGGCAGGAGGAGCTTGATAAAGAACGCAAAGCAGACGGAACCAAACGACGAAGGGCTGCCGGATCTGAGCAGACGAGGTAGGTGTAGCTCTGTCTGTCTGCTGAAATTCCTGTGGTTGTAGATTGTAGAGTCACATAGTATCTTGCAAAATTGTCAATGCAGGTTTGTAACTTCAATAACGACTTCATCAACATCTTAACAACGTTCGTTGTGAATTCACGCCTCGTGCGTAGGCTGTGATGTGACCACATCGGTATGGCTGGAATGTGCCAGCGTTGTTCTCGCTCTTTGAGACCAGGGTTATGGCGGGTGGCAACTTGACAAATTTGTATCTAGCATTTCTGTGGATGCAAATCACTACACCAACAAAGTCATAGTATCCCAGTCTGATTTCTGTGCTCAAAAACGCCAAATTTGTTCATCTCACTTGTTTTGATCTCGCTTAATTTAAAGTGAGGAAGAGTTTGAGCATACTGTGGAAATATTGAGTTCATTAAACATGGATGGTTACTGTAGAGTGAAATTGTTTCTTCAAACATTATTGCTGTGGTCAGCTTAGGGCTGCACGATTTGGGGAAAATATCGAATCGCGATTTTTCTGAGAGACGTTGCGATTACGATTTGATTTGTGATTTAATTTTTTTTATGTCAAGCTTCAGTTCAATATTCAGTGTGTAGTCATTTTAAAACATATGACGCAGCATGAGATACCATCAGTATTAACTGGTCTATATTCTAATGCAAGGATGAGAATTTAAAGATGTCATGTGTCAAGTTAAATAAAGTAATAATGAAAACAATTGCAGCAAAAAGAAAAATAGTGATCTTGCAGGTAACGCTTATTACCCTCCTAATAACACTAGAACCGCCTTTTCCCACGCCAATGAACAAGCAAGAACTACTTCAGTGTATGCAGCCCTTTTGTTTGCGCTATTGTGTTGTTAGCTGCTGTTATTAACACTAATAACACTCAAAAAACCGTAATGTTCACAACAGAGTGGCTGTTCTGTCCTGAAACCGTAAAGCTAGAAATTTTAAAACGTAGTATGCATTTTATAAAATGTTGAATAAATAGAAGTTGTTTATTGATGATTTAACAACTGTATATGTTATTTTCAGGTGAAACAAAAAATGTACGTGTTCATGGTTGCAAACTCTTTCAGACGGCAAATCTATATTCCATTCTGAACTTAAAACTAGCTGCATCAAAAACGTTACGGCAGTTTGCGAACCCTACAGACTATTTACAAGGTAATAAAACTTACATACATGTAAATGTGTGTGCAGAACAGAGAACAGAAAATCTCACTCCATGCAGCTGACCAAAGTTGCCAACCCTGCATTTTATTTTAAATGAGAAGTAAAATGCAGTTTTCGACTGAAGCAGCTTATCATTCCTTTGCATTGTTACTCGAACAAATACAAAACAAATTATTAAACATTATATGCGTCGTTTTTTGTATGTTTTCTAAATAAGACGGCGTGCCCATACCCAACTGTAATAGCGATTGAAGCGATCTATTCTTTTAGTATTTATGTTAAAGCAAGACTTTTATTTTATTACTGTTGTTGGATTAATCTTTTGAAACACTTAAATTTAATAAGCACAAAAACATATGACATAAACACGACTGTATTGTGGGTTTTACGGCTTTTTTGGAGGTCACCGACTCCGCTGCTGTGAGAATTACTGACTGTCTCATTGTTGTTTTGATGGGTTAGCGGTATGCTGATGCTATTGCCCATTAACAAAAACAAAAGGTATGATACGCTGAAGTATGTCGCTGGTGTTTAAAAGGAGGTCGCCGGTTCTATTGATGATAGGACCTTTCTGAAACAATCTCAGATCATGAAATAGGAAGGCGATTCACTTATAGCTCAGTAGCGGAATCAGTATTTTTCCTCACCACGAATGTAACATTTCCCTTGGTTTTCACGTGTTTGCTGTTTGTGAGCCTATACGCCTTCTTGGGCCACTTCTGATTGGTGAGCATGACTGGCATGCGAGGAACATGGCGCTTGTGATTGGTGAGAATGACTGTCACACAGGGAGCACGGCATGAATTTGTAAAACTATTCTCACAGCAGTTTTAAACCCTGGGTCCGACGTGCTGTATAATGTATATCCTAAATTGCGATTTTTGCAACTTGCTAATCGCGTTGTTTCAAATCGCGATTTCGATTTGAAAGCGATAAAAATCGTGCAGCCCTAGGTCAGCTTGTATCTGAGAGCGCTGTGCTGGTCCTTGTACCCTAATGGTGTCAGTCTGTAACTGCCTTGAGAAACCATTTTTCCCATGAATAGAAGTTTATGGTTTTCTTGGTAAAATCATGACAGTTAATGGTGATGTCTGTCTTATGTGAAATTCAATGCTGATGGTTTATCCACTGGATGTTAAGGTGCAGGTCTATCAGTTCCCTGCAAATCCTATTTATTTAACCAGCAGCCTGCAGTGTACATTGCTGCTACAGACTGAAGGATAAAGGCGGATTATCTCGCCCTCAGGCCCTTTCCAGCCTCACGCCTGCTTGTTTACTGAGACTCCCCAGTGTCTGTAATGGCGCTGTCACCGACTGCGCTGAGAATCCCTAAGTGGGTCATAAGCACGCCTTGCCCACATTTGACTGGCAGACGGTCCTTTAGCAGAAATGCCCAAATGAAAATGATGCATATATGATACTAAACAAGACGTAAAATCTACCTGTCACAGGCGCTGATATGAATGGATATGAATAAGCAGAGCCAAGGTTATACAGTGTGTAAAATATATAAATAGTAGGTATTTTGTTCCAAGCTTGGAAAGGAGGTCCACTCCCGGAATATGCATAATTCTTGTTACTAAGTTTATAAATGGGGTTTTCCCCAATCTGATCCATTCAATATTTATATTTGCCGATTCTGATCCCGACCCGATCTTTTAGTAAATATTACAATATACATACGCATACAGTCGGCGTCGGTGCTTTCTCAGGCTAACTAAGCCTCCCAGTTTCGCAGTATTCTTCCTTATGATGTTTCTGCAAGTGCCTAATTAGATTTGTTGTATCAAATGACGCTCTGTTGCTATCTCACCACCAAAGAATGGGGTTGCAAACATGGCTGGTAACTGTTGGGCTGTTTTTAGTTTCCATTTTAAAGAATTTCCACACAGCTGGCCTCTCGATTAGTTTGCAGTTTCAAGCCACATGCCTCAGGCTTACTGTAGCATGTGATGGAACCTTACAACCTGCACAAGTCGCGTAAATTAGGCAGATGCGGGAAATTACATACATGGGGCTTGGAATCGGGCTGTGGTAGCCGAAACCGATCAATTAAAAACCTGGCTGGATCGGCCCCAATTCTGATCTTTGATATTGACTCGGGACTTCACTGTTTAGAAGTGAGCCGCATTGCTGAACCTTGTACTGGCCTTGCGCAAATGTGAAGGTGGGCTTGTATCTGCAGAGGAGCTGGAGTCAATCGTGGGCGCCAGGAGGCTGTGGAGCCCACGGTCCCGGCGCCGCAGCCAGCAGGACAACACGCTGATGGAGTCCTGGGACTCGCTCATCAAATTCAACCAGTGTCAGCGAGGCCGCATCTCCAACATGGGCTTCGAGGGCGACATCTTTGACGAGTTCCTGCAGCGGCAGGGCCGTCCCGACGCGGCGCTCGGGGGCCAGCCCCCCCGGGCCACGCGGCAGGAGAATGCCGGCGAGGAGCCGGAAGAGGAACCCCTGGGTGAGGCCGAGCGTGACGAGGAGTTTGAGATCCCCGTCCTGCCGCGGGGCCAGCATCTGCTCATCAACATCCTGTCCACATGGGGCGACCGACATTACGTGGGGCTCAACGGCCTGGAGATATTCAGCTCCAGTGGGGAGCCCGTGCTTCCGGCCTGCATCCGCGCGGACCCCCCAGACATCAACATCCTCCCCGCCTACGGCAAAGATCCGCGCGTCGTGGCCAACCTCGTCGACGGCGTCAACCGCACGCAGGACGACATGCATCTGTGGCTGGCCCCGTTCACGCCAGGGAGGCTCCACCTCATCTACGTCGACTTCCACAGCCCCTGCCAAGTGGCCATGATCCGCATCTGGAACTACAACAAGTCGCGCATTCACTCCTTCCGCGGCGTAAAGGAGATGGAGATGCTGCTGGACGGAAAGTGCATCTTCAGGGGGGAGATTGCCAAGGGCTCGGGGACCCTGTCTGGAGGTACGTTGCTATTCTCCAAACAAACAGACATCACGTTTCTACGATGGAATGACAGAAGTTTTTGATGATCTGCAGTCACATGAGATTCTGATAGGTAATTCGGCTAAATGTTTGTCTACGCTGATTTTCTGTAAGATCTAGTATCATGGAAGGAATAAATTCAACAAAGGATAAAGTAAAAGTAGAATAAATAAGAAACGAATAAAATTAAACTATATCTAGAAAGAATTCACCGTGCATAAGTGTGTGTTGCTATGGTAAATATAGTGCAGGGTGGCTCTTGTGCGAATGGCATATGCACATTTACCCTTACTCTCAGTGCTAGGAATGTTACCCTGTACAGCAGGATTGCCCAGTTCAGATCCTGGAGGGGCAGTCTACACCACAGTTTACAAGATTTCCCTGCTCAAACACCATAACTAAACCTGGCTATTAGCTGTTGAGCTGAATAAGGTGTGTTTGAGCAGGGAAATCTGCAAACTGTGGAGCAGACCATCCCCCAGGACCGGAATTGGGGAACCCCGCTGTAGATCCTGTTCTGTGTGACTCCAGCTTCTACTACGCCTTTGTAGCAAAGTGGGCGGTTCTTCATCCGCCTCTCCTCTCTGCAATCTTCTACAGGGGTGGAGCAGTTCGGCGACACCATCCTGTTCACGACGGATGACGACATCCTGGAGGCCGTGTCCCGCTACGACGAGACGTTTGAGGGCGAGGAGCAGGGCCCCGGCTCGCTGGTGTGCGAGGAGGAGTTGCAGCGGCCACGCACGGCGGACGGCGAGGGTGACGAGCGACCCTTCACGCAGGCCGGCTTCAGGAGCGACGACGAGCAGCAGGTCGGCCGTTCACTCTGCCCCCGGCGTTACCACCCTCCACATTCGTATTTACGCCTTTATTTGCTTTAACTTTTCTACCGTTCTGCGCTCCTGCTCCACAGGTGCGGTTGCAGCTTTCGGCAGTGTGTAACCTGTCTGAAGGAGCAGCGGAGAACGTTCCCGGGATGTACACTGGAAAGTGTGGGTACTCCCCGTAGATCCCGGGGGAATATCCATCTGCTGTGTCGCTCGTTTATATGTTATCATATACGAGCTTATTCACACCTTCAGGCCTTAAGATCAACTTCAGTATGACGTGGGGTGATTCTCATTACCTGGGCATCACGGGCCTCGAGTTGGTGGGCAGAGACGGGCAGACCCTGCCCCTGGACCTCAGCATGATGAGTGCCTCCCCCCAGGACCTCAACGACCTGCCCGGTTACGGCAATGACGCACGTACCTTGGACAAGTACGTTCCCTCTCTTGCATTCCCACCTTTCCGTTACCCTCCGTCAGACTGTTCCATCGGTCTTCCCCACCTGTCTTTCCTGCTTGACCGAGAGTTGACGTTAGTTGGGATGATGCTTGGCTTAGTGGGTAAGGACACTGTGGCCGTGATTGGAAGGTTTCCGGTTCAAATCCCAGTGTTGGCAGAGTGACTTCACCGTTGAGTCCTTCAGCATGACCCTTGAGCCCCGTAGCTCCTGGCACTGTCTGACCTGCATTTCTCAAAAAAAATATTTGTCATTGGATAAAAACGTCTGCTAATTAAGTAAATGTACTGGAGGTACAGCAGCATACAAAGGTCTTAGACAGTCAGAGAAAATGTTTTAAGCTATTTATGTGAGTATTAGGTATATATTTGCTTATGGAAAAAAAACACAATTTAACATTAGAATATGTGCAATTGAACAGTGACACGATTAAATATCACAAGAATTCCTTCTGTTCACCAAAATGTTATTGATCTTGTTGGATGGTTAGATGAACACCACTTCAGATCCCAAACCTCTCCTCAGGGGCACCTCAGCCATTCCACGTATTTGTTACATTTCCCCACCAGCTCAAATAATTAATTAACCTAATTCGTTAAATAACTCAGTGAGGTATTGATTAGTGAGGTGCGCTAGTGGTCCAGCCAAACAGGACATGGAGGAGCTGAATCCATCTGTAATCTGCTGCTTATCTGGGGCCGGGTCGTAGGGGCAGCGGTCTGAACAAGGATGCCCAGACTTCTCTCTCTTCCAGTTCCTCCAAAGGGACATCTACGGTGTCCGGGGTCTGCCCTGAGGTCTCCCCCTGGCTGGACGTCCCTAGGGAGGCATCCAGGAGATGTTCTAGATAGATGCCCAAACAACCTCAGCTGGTTCCTTTATGTCTGAGCTCCTCACCATGTCTCTAAGGCTGAGCATAGGCACCCTGCAAAGGAAGCTAATTTCCATAGCTTTTATCCCTGATCTCGTTGTTTTGGTCGCTACCCAGAGCTTGTGACCTTAAGTGAGGGTAGGAACATAGATCGACCGGTAAATCGATAGTTTTGCCTTTCAGCACAGCTCTCTTTTCACCGTTATTGACCAGTACAGTGTCCACATAAATGCTGATGCTGCACCGATCCGCCTGCCGATCTCCCGCTCCCTTGTTCCCTCACTCATGAACAAGACCCCGAAATACAGTGGTACCTCGGTTCTTGAACTCAATAGAACTCGATGTCGAACCGTGAACGCTGACCTAATATAAATTGTACGCTTCTTCATAAGGCTGGACGATTAACCAAATAAAGCAGCGCATCATTACAGTAACTAACAATAAATAAACCACTAACTTACGTGTACTATTAGAGCATTTATGTCATTTATTTAAACTTTATTTTACCAGGTAAATTAACTGAAAACCAGTTCTCACTGCTTTACGTGATATTCGGGAGAAATAGCAGATTACGCATCGGAACTGCCTGGGATACAAACGTCATGCGTGTAACTAAACTCTTCAGCCAATAAGGGCAAAGGTGTGTCGTCACGGAGGCGGTTCCAGTTTGTGCAGCCGGGTGAGAGGTCGCAATGCATCTAACCGTAATGCATTGCGTCAGGATCAGAATGCTTTGCTTTGTTGAGCCAGCGCTGTAAGCAAGTCGAACGCACCCAATGACTGGACTGGGGAAACAAACTGAAACGCGAACTTAATACAGAGGACTAATGACAACAACCAGAAACAGCTGATCACATGGAGATTCCACAAGGGGTTAGCGAGGGGGCGTGGCACATGGAAGGAGCGGACGATCGGGGCAGGACAGGGGTAATGTTGGGATAAGATCTTTATTGTTTTGGAAGCCATTTAGAAAAAAATGCTCTTCTTATTTTATCCTGTTCATTTTGTGTTTAAATGCTAAAAAGCAAAAAAGAAAAAAAAGAAAAACATATGTAGGTGTAATTTTGGGGGGCCGAGAACCAATTAATTGGTTTTCCATTATTTCTTATGGGAAAAATTCGATCAGAACTCAAACTTTTTAAGATTCGATCCGGAGTCCCAAACAGATTAAGTTCGAGAACCAAGGTACCACTGTAAATGAATTCTGGTGCCAGGTGCACTTATGAACACCCTTATGCTTGAACATGGTGTCATTATGGACAAACTGTGATTAGCACAGAAGTCCAATAACTGATCACCACTCAGATTCCGATCGGGCAGGCCGTTCCTCCCAATCACACCCTTCCAGGTTTCACTGTCATTATCCACATAACTGTTAAAGTCCCCCAGGAGAACAATGGAGTCCCCAGAATGGGCGCNGTGTTTAAATGCTAAAAAGAAAAAAAAAAAAAGAAAAAAAAAAGAAAAACATATTTAGGTGTAATTTTGGGGGGCCGAGAACCAATTAATTGGTTTTCCATTATTTCTTATGGGAAAAATTAGATCAGAACTCAAACTTTTTAAGATTCGATCCGGAGTCCGGAACGGATTAAGTTCGAGAACCAAGGTACCACTGTAAATGAATTCTGGTGCCAGGTGCCCTTATGAACACCCTTATGCTTGAACATACTATTCGTTATGCACAAACTGTGATTAGCACAGAAGTCCAATAACTGATCACCACTCAGATTCCGATCGGGCAGGCTGTTCCTCCCAATCACACCCTTCCAGGTTTCACTGTCATTATCCACATAACTGTTAAAGTCCCCCAGGAGAACAATGGAGTCCCCAGAATGGGCGCCTTCCAGGACCCCCCAGCAAGGTCTCTAAGAAGACTGGATACTCCGAACTGCTGTTCGGTGGGTACGCACAGTCAACAGTCAGAGCCCGTTCCCCTGCTAAAAGTCGAAGGGAGGCGACTCTCTCATTCACCGGGGTAAACTCCAATGTACTGGCACTGAACCGGGGGCTGACACCCAAGGCAACTCCAGAATGGAACAGAGTGCAATGAAGCGAGCCTGACCATATCTAGATGGTATCTCTGTACCTCCCACACCAGCTCAGACTCCCTTTCCATCAGAGACAGTCTGCCTCCCCACCCCCTTCCTGTGGCACCCTGAGAAGGTAGTGAGTCCACAGGAGTGCTGTATTGGATGGTCACTGCAAAGATTAGGAGAGCTTTTGAAATGGCTAAGTTAACAAACATAATGTCATATTTATACATGAACATGAAGATAATTTAAACATCATTTTCTTGCACTTTCAGCAATGTTTGAACGGTCACCACAGTGACTGTCTAGCTTCATGTGGTTCCTGTGTCCCCTGTGTCCCCCGTCAGGCTGATTGACGGACACAACATAACTATGGAGGACGAGCACATGTGGCTGATCCCCTTCGAGTACGGGACGGAGCACATTCTCTCCGTGCATTTCGAGGAACCTCAGACTGTAGCCGGCCTGCGTATCTGGAACTACAACAAATCGCCTGAGGACACTTACAGGGGGGTGGGTTTATCCGCCATCTTGCATTTCGCTGCATACAGCTGGGGCATCACTTTGATTCTCTGTAGAAGCTGGATTTTTCCTCATATTTGTTTAACAACCCCCCTCCCCACACACATGCACACAGGTGAAAGTGATCCACGTGTCCACGGATGACACCACTATCTCTCCACCTGAAGGCTTCTTGATCCGGAAGGGTCCAGGGAACTGCCACTTTGACTTTGCACAGGAGATCCTCTTCATCGATCACCTGCCGTCCACCAGCAGCAAGGCCTCAGACACTCTGCAAGCCCACAGGTTGGTAATGGTGATACTCTGTAGTGTGATATACTGATAGCAGTGAACTGTGTAGCCAGGAAACTGTAGTTTAGTCAGTAGACTCACTAATCACTTTGTACTACATCATGGAGGTGTCAAGTTTCCTTTAGAAAGATTTCATCCCGTGTTTGATTTCAGACAAATCGATCAACTGGGTGTTTACTGCCTGGTACCAGAGATGGGGACCCGAGTTTGCGACTTGGACTCGAGTCACACACGAGTCCCTCTTAAACTGACTCTGACTTGACTCCGTCTCATTGATAGCAACTTGTGGACAATAAGAGTCTTTAAGACTCTGCTGAATTTTCTACACATGCGATGCATTGAGTGTACGACTCTCCCCAAACCGGAAAGGCGTTGAACACATCCCGATGTGCGGAGGTGCGAACAGCATAGGTACTGGAGCCAGAGTAGCGTGACATCGGGTGATAGCAACAAACAACACAGTTCTTCTGTTTCGCCACTAGTACAGATTATGGACCCGATCTGACAAAGCACGAGATATTCCCAGTTTTATTTTACGTTAGAAGGCATCGCTTAGAAATAGGCGTCGCTTAACCTGTGCCGTACATTATATATATGTGGTGTTGTTATACAGTGACACAGATCATTGTCAGTTGGTTTGGCTCCAGAGCAGGGTCAGAATTTCCAAAATTTCCTGTACATCCCGTCTTCCTCATATTGTTACTTTTGAGAAAGTATTATCAGAAAAGTGTTTAGGTTCTTACAAAGGCTTTTGAAATGCTAATTACTTTGAAAATGTATATAAGCCTAAGGAAATATGAAACATGCAGTTTTTGAACGTTCAAGTGGTGATTCCCATTAAGTCGCATCAACAAATAGGCACTTAAATTTTTGATAAATAGTGATGTCAGATTGGAACCACGATGGACTTGAGACTTGAGACTTGACTCGGACTCTGAGGCCCTGTTCACGCCCGGTATCCACATGTGTCCTGGGTGATCAATGGGCAGCACTAATTACAGGTGTGAACGCACCCAAAACGCATCAAGGACGCATTGAGATTCGATCGCTCAAATCACATCCACAGGTGGTCTGAGACACATGTGGCCACGTTCTTATAGCAGTGTGAAGGCGAATGTGTCCCGGGCCGCATTGTAGGACCGCCTGCTCAGCTGACGTTCGCGTGTGGGTGTAAGTATGTGCATTAAACCCGCCAGCGGTATTTGACAGAATATGTCATAGCATCTGTCAGTGCAGAATGGGTCACTGTGTAGTGAACTGCATTGTGAACAACATTGCATCTTTTTCAGTACAAAAACCAATGAATAAGTTTGAATCTGCTGGCAAGTTGGTTTAATATTTAATGCGTGACCCATTCGCATAGAAACCTTGACAGAGGTCAGCATCATTAATGTTGCGTGCAAATTAGGGAAAAATAAATTTTGAAAGAAGTGGTTTATTAAAGAGGTTTTAGAATTTGAAGATCATATTTAATGTGCACTTTGAAACCGGTAAAAGTTAAATGGACTTAAAAATTAAAGCATGTAGGCGACAATGTGCGTTCAATAGCCTACAAAATGGGTATGTCAATAGAAACATAACAATAGAATAATTATATAGTTTTATATTGGACTGTTTGGGGGCTTGAACTCTTGGTCAGAAATTCAGTCCCATTCCAGTGAAACAATGAACCTCTTCATTGAAATTTTCACAGATTTTGAGCTTCACTGGTTATGATTAAAAGCTGAAATATTATCATATGATAACCAACTTAATGCTTTTCAGACCGAACCCTTTGTCCTTGAATAGAATGTACTAGCCTGCCCTAGTTGTATCTTAGTATTGAAAGACCTTTTTAACATGTACATTTGTGCTGTGTTGACATGGTATACAAATGCATGTCTACACGTAGAAAGTTGAACTTCATTGTGAAATATAGTTTGAATTTTTGAAGTATTGCACTATGTGAAATATTTTATGATAATGACTGTTTAATGAAAATCACAACATTATTATGAAACACAATTTTAAAATTTTTTACATAGAAGACAAACAATATGAAATACCTTTTATGGAATTACTCTAAAATAAAGACACATTATCTATTTGTTTGTTTTTTTTCTATTATTTATAGATATTTTTATTTATTTCATTTGAAGTATTATGCCCATTCTATAAAAACGTTTTAGGTGGTTCGGTTACCCTGAAATGTGCCAATAGCTATTGATTTCTTCTTCTCCTTCTTTTAATGTTCGGCATATTCTGCTTACGGAAGTGATTAACGTGCTTATTTAAATAAAGTGCGGGAAAGTGAGATCCGGTTACAAGTGGTCAGTCGAGACACATGCAGAGACGCATGTTAATACCAGGTGTGAACAGGGCTTGTTTCAGAAACTTGAGACTTAACTCAGACTCAAATTTTTTGACCCCTGAATATCTTTGCCTGGATCTGACTACCCTCTCTATTGGTAGCGTTACCCCTGTGAGTGGTGCTGTCTGGTAATGGCTGGAGATCTGGAGGCACTGGAGATGCTTGTTTACCTGTCGTGGCCTCTGAGATTCTCTTGGTGCAGTCTGGCATTCAGTCTCTTCTTGTGAGACAGTGCAGGAGGCGTTCTGTTACACGAGCAGAATATGCGTGTTTGCACTGGAGCGTGCTCAGATCCTGGTGAGTGTAAGTAGCTAATTAGATCTCTAGGCTTTAAGCGAGCAGTGTCCTGTAGTCTGGCTGCCATAGATTCACTGTAAGAGGAGGATGGGGGCAACTAGACACTGCAGCTTGTAAAACGAGCCTCCACTGCAGAGGGCTTTGTGAACAGAGGCAAGTCTGATTGGTCCTTAGCTGGTGATTCCACTTCAGGTGTATCCGGGGGAGGAGGGGGGGTGAGCAGATCAAATTAAAATTAAAGTCGTACGGCACATTACTTGATCTGTTCTTTAGCACCGGGTTCCTTCAGCGTGTCACGGTGAACAATGAATTATCGTTTAATCAAATGATCCACAGAATATCAATTACATAGCCAATATCAAATTTAAACATTAAACGTGTGCATATTAGCAATTTTTAGGAAATTTGGTCATTAAAACATTTATTTTTTATTTTATTTGTACTTGATGAATAGTTTATTCGAGAAGCTGGTTGTTGACTCTGAGACCAGACATAAGATTCTTTGTTCAAGATGATGTCACAGTATGTGATGCTGATGTCATAGTGTGTGATGCTGATGTCGTTGCCCACTTTTCAAACCAGAGGCAGCTCACAGAAAGAGGAGCAGGCTAGCATGGACTACGAGGCCCCCCTGATGCCCTGTGGATGTATCCTTCTGTCCCCGCTCTTTGTAGACCTGACAGGCTGCAGGTGGGCAGTGGGGATTAGGTAAGCATGTGTGTGTGTCTGCCTCGCACTTCGCACTTTCCTTAACAAAGGGCCACCAGTCATCTTTCAGCTGCAGCTGTTGACGACCTGGGGTGACCCCTACTACATCGGACTAAACGGCCTGGAGATGTACGACCAGAATGACGAGTGCATTCCTCTTACTGACAACAGCACCCTTTCATGTCTTTCACATGTGGTCATTCATGTAAAACTATGTTACTGAGCTTGTAGTCAATCCAAAATGTCTCTGGTAAATTAGGGAGCAGAAAGTATAGGCAGATCTTATACTGGTGCTCCTCAGCTTGAGATACGTTCCAGTGATCCTATCGTAATTGGAAAATATGTAAAGTCGAATAGGAATATTATATGATAAGTAAATTAATACAGTAAAATCCCGTTATGGTGGACTCGCTTATAACGGAATATCGTCTATAACAGACGAGGTCCGCCGGTCCCGACCGTGCGCCTTTAAGAACATGCAGAAAACGTATCGGATATAGTGGACTCGCATATAACGGAATTTCGCTTATAACGGACAAAGAATTTGCTCCCCAGGGCCGCTTTTAGCTGTAGTTTTGTTTGGCTATAGCGGACATGCAGCTAACTGATTACTGTGCCTAACTAAATGCCAGTAATTAAAAACTAAATAAATGGCTACAAGTTTATTAAACGCAGAAAACAAAACACGGTATGATACATTGTAAATTGTAAAACACTATGAGATGTTTACACTCGTGTTTGCTACAGAGACTGGAGAAAGTATGGTACAGTGTGTTTTTTTTTCATGTTTAACCAACTGAACTTTATTTACTTTTTAATTACTGGTATTTAGTTAGTTACAGTAATCATTGTTAAACGATCAAAATTTTGCATTTGCTGAATACTGAATGTGCATCATCATGAAGTCAAAATATCGTAAGTTTAATCATCGTGAAGCAAAGAGCGTCTGTAGTCTGCACAGTGAGAAATGTGATCGTCTTTTCTTGGAGTGGAAATTAACCCGGGCGACTTTCAGCTTGCAGCGAACGAGTTGCGTAACATTTCAGAGGCATTAATTGGGAGACTTAACGGGCCACGCTTAGATATCGCGGCCTTCCCGGACAGCGTGAACGTGCTGGACAGCGTGAATGGCGACGTGCGTACTCCCGAGAAGCTGGTGGATGGCGTCAACAACACGCACGACGGCCGTCACATGTGGCTGGCTCCTGTGCTGCCAGGGGTGGTGAGTGTGTCTATGATGATGTCACACGAGTTAACAGTGTTCCAGTACAGAAAGTTGAAAAGCCAAGTAGCAGTACCAGGGACCCGTTTTAAAAAGCTAGATTTCTTGCTTATCTGGATAACTTGTCGGATTTAATTTACCCCAATTTAAATGCCCTTTACCTTCATTCACTTACATTTAAACCAGACTACCTTAAATCTGAGAAGTTGTCTGCTTAAGCAAGAAATTCTGCTTAATGAAATGGGCCCCAATTATAATCCAGTTAATTGTTAGCTATTGTTAGCAGTATCAGTGGATAACAACACATTACGTGGTATTTTGCGTAGCAACACTGCCACAGATAACGGCTGGACAGTACTGTGTGTATGACCGATTTAATGAAGTTTATTAATAATTAAATAAGACACAAGTGTTAATAAATAGTATAAACTATAGCTTTAACTTCAGTTGATAAAGGGCACGGCCATGTTGAATTCTGAGCTCGGTGTTGTGTCGATTCCTCCAAGTTCCCAAGTCAGAATTCCGACCTCGGGGCATTCCAGTTGAAAATTCCGACTAGGATCTCGGAATTTACGAGTTACTAGTACAAATGGAACGCAGCATTAGATCCCATTGGTGGAGGGTGGGCGGAGCAACAGTAAAATATGTCCATTCACCTTCAGGCTGCTCATCCAGGGTCTTAGGCATATGATGCAATCTTAAGTCATGTGATGTGTGTATGTCGAGTCAGTGTTTTGTGTTTTCTGTAAACAGGTGAACCGTGTTTACGTTATATTTGACCAGCCAGTGACGGTGTCCATGATCAAACTGTGGAACTACTGCAAAACCCCACAGAGAGGCGTGAAGGAATTCGGGGTAGGTGCTGCTTTTTTAATTGTAGAGACCCTAGCATGGGGTCAGAGGTCATGTTTAATAAAGGAGGGCTCTGCGTCGCACCCCAGCTGCTGGTGGATGACCTTCTGGTCTATAACGGTGTCCTGGACTGCGTCAGTCATGTGGCCCGAGGAATCCTGCCCACCTGCGACCCGGTCGTGCCGTACCACACCATCCTCTTTACCAGCAACGGCACCATCGCGCACCGTGAGAGGAACACCGTCATTAGGTATGGTGCTGGCCCTCCGCCCTTCTCACGTATCACGCCCCCCCCCACGGTCACATCCGGCCACCGTCACTCTCGCTCTCGCCGCTGCGGGCCTGTGCCCCTGTGCTCACCCACGCCGCGTCCTCTCGCTCTCGCCGCTGCGGGCCTGTGCCCCTGTGCTCACCCACGCCGCGTCCTCTCGCTCTCGCCGCTGCGGGCCTGTGCCCCTGTGCTCACCCACGCCGTGTCCTCTCGCTCTCGCCGCTGCGGGCCTGTGCCCCTGTGCTCACCCACACTGTCTTCTCTCCACTCCAGCCCTCAGCGCAGCAGGTATCAGGAACAGTGAGTACAGATCCTCCCAGCGACACCCCCCTTCCCAGGGCCCATCCTCTGTCCTCCTCCTTTTCCCACAGCCCCTCTCCATATCCCTCCATCACCCACCCTAGAGACGGAGGCCTGAGTTTGCTCACAGTGTTGTGGTCATGTGACTCGTCCCTGGTCGGCAGAGGCTTCCGTCCCTCACAGCTGTCTGTGATGTCCATATCCATCACCGTTACTGGATCCATACTGACGATCGGCCTAAACTTTTTTTTTTTCTCTGTTGCTTTGTAGCAACTATGTGGAGAACCAGGATGTGAAAATGACCAACGAGAACCAGATAGTTCACCATCACGCCAGGAAGAAGCCAACAGCAGATCCTGGTAATGACATGCCTTCGTCTGCACGTTCGTTTCCTAAGTTGTACATTATTGCTTATTATATATTTGAGTTTCTTTAATGTCTAACAGTGTTTGACTCATCTGTTTATGTTGCAGCATTGCGTCCAAAAACCTGCATGACAGACCGAGGACAGATTGGGAAGAGGCGCTACTGAGAGCCAAAGTGAACCACGTCTGTCACGGAAGAGCCTGGCCGCGGATTATCCAGCTCCTTTCCGTGGTGGAGCATTGAATCCCCCCCC